TAGGTGAAGGGGCTCCTACCAACCTATCATTCTGATAGAATTTTGTGAAGCAAGATTACTCAAGAAAGAGGCAATGTAGACTTAATCTTTTCCATAAATTTAAACTAAAACCAAAGACACACCCACTCAGCTCCTATAAATGAGACCTTCTTTTCTCTTCTGAAAAGTAAATACACTCTAATCAGTGGTTTTAAGTAATCAGATCACTAACTGGATTTCTCACTTGATATCTCAGCAGACAGAGAAGCAGGAGACTGAGAAACCTGAATAGGAATTTGCTTTCAAACCAGAAGAAAATAAAATTCACTGTTTGCTAATGTGATCAAAAGTTTTGGTGAAAGGTCTATAACACGCTAGGCAAGTGCTTAACTCTAATGAAATCTGTTTATCTCCCCAATTCTTCACTAATTTCAGCACTCTGCGAGGCTGAGTCAGAAGGATCACAAGTTTGAGCACAGCCTGGATAACTTAATGACTTAGTGAAACCCTGTCTCAAAATCTTAAAAATAAAGTTTTTTAAGACTGGAGGTGTAGCTCAGAGAAGGCCTTAAATTCAACCCCCAGTACCACCAAAAAAAAAAAAAAAAGGAAGGGAGAGAGTTTATCTTAATGGTGATAGACTCAATGGACAAACTCAGCAAAAAACAGTCTTCCTGGTCTCTCAGATGCAGCGTTTCTTCTTTCCAGGAGTGGGGCAGGGCTCCGCTGGAATGAGGCTCTTATGAGCTACTGCTTGTCTAGGAAAAACAAAGTGTCTGTTTTTCCCCTACTCTCACATTGCACATAGACTTCTGTCTCCCTAACAGCAAGCACGCCGTTCGGCAGGGGACACCAAGTGGGTATCCTCTAATTTAATTCAGTTGGGACACTATCCACCTGGAGATAGCATCAGATCCCAAAGCTTAAGGTTTCAGTCCTCAGCTATCCCCCACTTTAAACCCAAGTCCAAGACTCCAAACTTCTGACCAACCAACTGGAAAATGGGGTTCCCACAGCTTCCCCTAGGTTTTCTAGAGCAGCTCACAGACTCCGGGAAACTCTGGGAAACAAAGAAGGGGTATGAAGCTGCCATGCCCTCTGGATAAGCCGCCTTCCAGGAACTGCCACACATTCAGCTGTTCAGCAGCTTTCTGAACCCTGTCTTTATGGGTTTTTCTGGAGACTTCATCGCCAAATATCCGTGACTGGAGCATGGACAACCGTGTCAAAATGTGGTTGGACAGAAAGGGTCTGATCCAATGGGAACAGGTGTTGAGGAAAGCCAGGAAGGCCTGTCTGTGTCAGTATCCTGGGTTTCTCTACGCAACCTTCCTCTCTTCTTGTATGAGCAGGATCCCTCTGGAACGAGGATAGACCAGAGAAATTCTTTATGGGGAGCTCCAAAACAAAAGGTGGGGGAAATCAGAGATTCTATGAACTACCTTCAGGAAGAAAAATACTAGTTTTCATTGCCTGCCTCAGGAGATACTTATGAGCCAGAAACTATGGAAGGGAACTCTGTGTTCCAGTGTGAGGTTATTTTAATTCTAGATTTTATAGTTGGCTTTGGAGAAAATGAGTTCTATAACCTGTCTTGGGGAAGAGAAATTCCCATTTCTATGACTTGCTTCAGGGAGGGATGAGATTCAGGAGGGCAGCAGGCTGTGAAGTTACTTCTGAGGCCTGCCAGTGCCCTTTATTTCACCAACAAGGACAATGTTGCAGCTTCTGATGTTCCTCCACTTGAAGCCAGCCAGTCCCCACCTGGCAGGAAGCAGCAATCGCCTGGACTTTAGACCTGAGATGGAAACCGGAGCTGTGTGAACAGGGCAGGCAGAGGCTGGAGAACAGAAGGTCAGACGACTGGGTAGAAGCCAAGAAAAAAAACCAGTCTGGGTGTCAGGGGTTGCAGAGTTCTCAAAAGGTTGTGTTTGGCCTAAGTTCTAGGGTGCAGGTCTCAGGCCTGCAAGCTTGTCAAGATGGCTTAAGCCATTGATCTGTTCATGCAAAAAAGGGACATAGACACCAAGTCAAATAGCTAATCAGGAAGTGAGGAGACAAAGACAGAATCCTTGACAGGTCTTTTCAGGAGGACTTTGTGATACACATCTCTCGGCTGTGAGGGATCGTGAAGGATCTTTGGGATTGATGCTACAGGACGTGCCAAGAACAGCATCTCCCTCTTCCTTGGCCTGGGACTGGAATTTTCTTCTCCACGATCCCTTTGGCCAAACTCCATACAGAGTCCTTTATTGCTTTTGTAAATTCTTTTGCAGCACAGCTGTATAACATCTGGATGATTTGTCTGTTTTGCGAAAAACAGGACATTGATTTTTCACTTACAGTTTTTTAAGGAGTAGTTTGTGTCAAATCAATTTCCTTCCCCATGGTGCACTTCTGGTAGTCTTAAACAGACGCCTCCTAACATACGCTTTTGAGTATTAAAGGAGACAAAGGATGTGGAAGTCTGCTGTAAGTGGTACACTGCTACCCCAACCTTATTTCCTTATTTCCTTCTTGCCCATCCTGGGGCAGGCATGGCACTCATACTATGGAAATGGGAATGAATCAAACATTATGCTCAGGCAAACACCTGGATTTGATTGCTCAGAAAATTAGCCAGGTCATTTGGGAGTGGCTGTGTAATTTATAGGGTCCAGTGTAAAAGTATTAAGAATTTCTGAATGGCAGCAGCAGAACACTGAGCTAAGCATGAGACCTTGTGAGCTGCCCACCTGGCACGGTCATCCAGCTGAAGTTATGTCAATATATTCAGAGCAGTGAGAGGCTTGCAAAATGTCATCAGGTGCTGCACCAGCCTCACTCCCAAACAGGCTAAGAAACAGAAAGTGGACATTTTCAGAAATGCTCTGTAAGATCTGTAAAACATGTGGACACAAGGATAACACTGAGAAAGACGGCTTAATTTAGAAAAGAATTTCTTTTCAGACATAAGCAGCTTAATTAAAAGAAAGCTGGACTTCAAGCCCAGGATATCTTCATTTCCACCTTAGCTCCACATGATACTGACCAAGTCATAAGAGATAATGTATGTGGCTGTGCTTTGTATGTTATAAACTTGGAAATGTGTGCAGCAGTTGAAATGTAAACCTCAACTACTGCCATTTTTAAAGGAGGTTCTTGAGTCTTTTTGAAGGGGATACACACCCTCCTGTTGTAACACTGGACCTCATCTGTTTCACAATGTGTCTTTCCTCCAAAGTGCAGAAGGCTTTACATTGTTCCAAATTAACTTCTTTTCCCTATTTTCTGGTTTTCACTTCCAATGTGCTCAAAACAAAAACAGGAAACCAACCAATATGTCAGTGGGTTAACTGCACACTCAACTGGCTTGGAAGTCTTCGCCATGCTTTGGAGTGCAGGGAACGGAGGGAAGGGGGCTGGTCGTGCTCACCCAGGCTGGTCTCTCTGGACTGTGACTACAGAGCTGTGTTTACATAACCCAAAGCCTGGGATGCTGGGATGCTGGGATGCTGGGATGCTGGGATGGAGCGATGGACCACATGAATGATTCAGGAGGACACACACAAATCCTCTGCTCTTTTTATTTTTCTTTCACTTTTTACTGGCTTGACAGCTGTTCTTAGCAGCAAAGAGAGAAGGAATCTATGAGGTTCTTCAGTTAGAGGGTTTTCTTTCTCATCCCTTCCCTGGAATCTTTTCTCAGTAAACAATGCGGAATGAACACAAAGGATGTCTGCAAGAGCAAACTCACCTTTCCGCAAATACACATTTGCACACCTCTGGCATTTACAGAAGTCTCCTGTGCTCCTGCTTTTCTCCACACCTCAAAGGCGCTAGAAAAGATGCCTGGCATCGCGCTCCCTTTATTTACTATGTCTGGCTAAGATAAAGAGAGTTCGTGATTCCTTCCACAGAAACGCTCTCAACACACGTTTCCCAGAGGCCTAACGTACGTGATGCACCCCATGAGGGTGATGAAGGTAAAGTAAAATAAAGTGGGGTTTCTTGAGGAGACTGTACGTATGTTCCTCAAGGTCAAGGACATTGTTGTATTCCACTCTGTAACCTTAGCACATAGCAGAGTCCCACGCACAATAGCTGCTCATAAATATTTGTGGAGTATTTGCTCACAGAAATTATTGTCTTAAACTAAATGCCACTGGTCTCTGCAAATAATCTAGGAAGAATTTGGTGTGTCGCTAAAGCTTCGGTGTTATCTTTGGCCATGGGAAGAAATAACCACCACCACCAAAACAGTAATTAGCATTTGTTGAGTACATACCATTTTTCAGAGACTAATAGCTATACATAGCATGGTTCAACTCATTTAATAATTCTCACAACCCTATGAGGTAGGCATTAAGGATATCCAGGTATATGAATAGACACTGAGTCACCCAGGAGTGAAAGAACTTGCCCGGGTTTGCCCAGACTGGAACTGGCTCCAGAGCTCTTCCTAACCCCCACATTGCAGCTGCTGGTACCCTCCCAACAAAGCACAGGGAGAACAAATTAAAATAGGGACTTTCAAACTTTTTAACTGTATCCACAATGAAAGCAAAATTTACAGCTTTAAAAAGCTGAAGCAAGAGTTTCAGGAAATAGTATCTATGCTATATTTTTCTATCATATCTTAATTTATTATTTTTTCCTAATGCCAATTGCAATGTACCAATTTGATTTTACTGTGCAGAGTTTGAAAAAACCCTGGGTTTGAGGGGAAAGCCCAACCCTTCCTGGCTGACCTAGGGTTTGCTTTAATCCCTAATGAAAGTGGGTTCGCTTGCTGAATTTTCCCTCCTGGGGCAATTGGGTTTTGCTATCTGTAGTGTACCAAGTGCCCTTGGTTTCCAAAATGTCCCTCACACCCTGGCCTCTGAAAGTCTTTCCTCTGTCCCTCTTCTGGGTACTCCCCACTGCTATTTTTGGGTAGAGTCTTGCTCAGCTCCAGCTCCAGGGTCTCTCCCATCTGGTCCACGGGAAGAGCGCATCTTTTTCCACCTCAAATTCCTCTATTAAGCGTGAAACCGCTGTCCTTCTGTCTCTTTCCACTCTGGTGTCTAAGACTGATCTAGAGCCAACTTCATACAAACCTTACGTCCTCCTCCCTACCTGAGTAGGCAAAAGCTAAACTCTGACACACTTGAAGCGGATACAGAACCTCTCCCTCATCTCCACTCCTTTGTAAGTGGCTGAGTGACGGGCAGAAAAGCTTTCACAAGCTGCCTCACAATCTCTTACTATGACCTGGGTTTCCTAGGACTTGATTCTGGAATATGGGAGAGTTGGCATCTATTATTAAGATTTTATCCTTGGCAGGCTCTTCTAAAAGTGTGAAGAGCTCCACTTTCACATCAGTTACAGCTGGCTGGGCGTGCACTGGAAGGCAGGAAGAGAATGATGAGCGATGTGGAATGTGAATAAGCCATCAGAATTTGGAAATTATCAGGGCACATGAGCTTGTTGCGGAGGGTCAATGTATGACCGAATTCTATAGGGACCAAAGGTGGATAGCTGAGTCAGAATCCCACAGGTAGCCCAAGGAGCTCGTGGGGAGTGTGGGGTCAGGGTGTAAGTGTGGGGACTCTCCCTGGCACGAGCTGACGGCTCTGGTGCAGTGTATGAACTGGAACCCTGGCACTTCCTAGCGCCTCAGACTCAGATTTTGTTCCTGATGGTGGCAGAGTCGGGTTGATTACGGCTCATGCACAGGCTTTCTGCTTTTTTTGCTGCCTCTGCTAAAAGCTGAGGCTTTGGCTTTAACTTGATCCTGGCACCTGAAACACTCCAGCCAGAAGAGCAAGAACCAAGGAATGAGTTGCCACGTCCTACAAAAACAGTAACTGGTGCCCTTGGGTAGCATCCTCACTCTCCGCCCCCCCCCCCCCCCCCCCCCCGGGGGCCAGAGTTCAAATGTACACAACCGTAAGGCAGGGTGACTAATGCTGATTTTGCTAAGATTGTTGGCCACAAGAAATAGGCTGAAGACTAGGGTTCACCGCTCAGCTCTGAGATTTACTAGCTACCCGGCCTGAGTTGTTGAGTTTACCGTGGACTTTCGGTTTCCTCTTCTGAAGTATGGTGACACAAACATCTAGCGTGGTGTCTTGGACTGAACCACGAAGTGCTAAATAAAAGCACACCGAAGTTCCTGCTGCTACTACTGGTAAAACTCACCCCTGGTCAGTGGATGAAATGGGGAATGAAGTCACTGGCATCTTCAGTCTCAACAGTGAGACGTGGGGACCTCTTCTAGTGTTCAATGTGCATCTAGTTATCTGTGTTGCTGTTAAAAATGTTATAAGGAACATGATGTCCTCATTGTAGTTAAGTAACAAAGATATTACCCAGCCATCTACAAGAATGTCTAACAAGGAAAAAAGAAAATAAATGTTCAAAAGGGGCAGAGAATCTAGGCTAACAGCACCTACCATTTTCTAAAACTTCAAAAAAGTCTGCAGATCCACAGGAAATACTATAACAGAGTAGAAGAGGTCAGCTGGTCCAAGGAAGAGTCAGAGGAAGTCTGATTTTGAAATATATGGGGAATCTCAAAATATTGGTGCTTTTGTTGATCTCAGGAGGTAAATCTGAAAACAAAAGCAAATTTTAAAAAACCCACGTTGTTTGCCAGAAATAGATGGGGAGTGTAAGCTTTTTTTGTTTTTCTTTTTTTGGTGTTTTTTGAGACAGTACTGTTATGTAGTCCAGACTGGTCTTGAGCTCACTATGTAGCCCAAGCTGGCCTCAAACTCATGGGGATCTTCCTGCCTCAGCTTCCTCAGTGCTGGGATTACAGGCATGTGCCACCATGCTCAGCTAAACATTTTGTCACTGTAACGAAATACCTGAGATAATTTAAAGAAGTACAGCAATCTCAGTTCATAAATGCTTCTGTTTGCAAACAATTCAGTTCATAAACAAAAGTATTCAGCTGTTCACAAATTCCGCTTCAGTTGACAAACAGGACCATGGCCATCTTCCCCACACAAAAACAAATGCAGCCATCTTCCCCAAAATCATAAAACAAACTGTTTGTAAACCAAGACACCACTGTATTTTGGCTGAGTTCTTAGGCATGGTGAGCTGGTTTGCTGTGAGCCTGTGGTGAGGTCATACATCATGAACTGATTCTTTTTTCCCAGTCCCCTCGCCTCCGTTCAGCCCGTCTTCCCCTTTATTTACAGAAGCTTTGTTTCCATTTTTCCTTGTATTTTTTTCCTTGCCCCTTCTTCCCACCACCCCTTGCTCCCCTTCTCATTTGAACATTTTCTTCCCATTTCCAAATACTGTTATTTTTTTTTGAGACAGGGTCTCATTGTATAATCCAGGCTGGCCTGAGATTTCCAGTCCCTCTTAGAACTTGTTTTTTTTTAATGGCGCTCGTTTCTTTAGCAACAATCACCGCTTTGGCCTCAATTTTAAATACACTCCCTTCCTAGCCAAACTGCAAGTTTTTCAATCTTTTCTGCTGCCTATTCTTACTATAAGTCTAGCTAAAAGCAGCTAGCTATCCCCATGCCACTTCCTGAGTGCTTGTGCTGCCTGGAAAAACCAGTCCATCGCCTTTAAACTCCACCTTCTACGAAGTCTTTGCAAGGACAAATTTATACACAAGCTCTTTGCTGGGATGTAACATCCATGGTCTCCAGTGCAGTTCCCAAGAGCCTTCCTTTGTTCCCACTTGAGACCTCACGGGCACATCTTTCCCGTCCGCATTCCTGTCAGCACGCTGATGGCTTGAGCTCACACAACCACTGCCCATTTAGCCCAACTCACAATGTTCTAAGCGTCTCTAACCTGCTTCTCCAGACTCCAAACATTTCCAAACTCCTCCAATTTCACAGGCTTCTGATCCTCATCATCAGGTATGCCCACAACAACCTCATTTCTGGGTACCATTGTTTTCTTTGTACTTGGGGGATTGAACCCAGAACCTCTGAACTAACATCCATCCTCAGGCCTTTTAAATTTTATATTCCGAGAAAGGGTCTCACTAAATCATAAAGTTGCCCAGGCTAGCTCAAATTTTCAATCCCCCTCCTTTACGTCTTCCAGAGGGCTGGGTTTAGAGGCATGCACACCTGGCTTCGGTATCAAATTTCTGTTACTGAGCTTTTTATTGCTGTGACAAAACATCTGATATGAGCAATTCAGAGGAGGAAAGATTCATTTTGGTGCATGGTTTCAGGTGTCAGCCCCTGCTCAGCTGTGCCAGAGCAAAAGCAGCACGGGAGAAAGGCTTACACCTCCTGGCGTCCAGGATACAGCAGGAGAGGTACTGAGAAGGGCAGGCCCAGGACAAGACACAGCTGGGGACAGATGCAGGCTGCATCTCCTAGCAGCCATCCAGCTATGAACTTGTAGGTAGGCTCATCCACTGAGGAGTCAGCGCCCTCCTACCCCAGTTTGTAAAAATCCCACCTAAAATGCTGCACTGGGAACCAAGCCTTCAGCCAGCGAGTGAGTGATCCTTTCAGGAGACTTTTCAGATCCAAGCTGTAACAGGGAGCCTTCCATAAACCTGAAATACCTTCAAATCGATAAATAAACTATGTGCAGCTCTAGAAAACATTTTGAAGGCTCAGAAAGGCCTAAAGGAACCTTGAAATGAACCTAAATCCCCTTGAGTGACTCAGCATCCAGTATTTGTTTATCCAAGCAGAACCCACACCTGATAATCCTCTCGTGCCCTGGAGGCACTGATGCTCCCAGAACTCGTAACCAGCTGCTGCTACAGTGCTTCGTGTGGCCCACCGTATGCCTCACACGAAAGGGTGACATGAAGACAGAGAGGGGAACCTTGAGGGAGGGGGAATCAAGTGGACTAAGTCAAGCAGAAGTGATTTACTGCTTAACAACAGAAGCATTCTTATCCAACGACATCTTCTGCAGAGCTCACGCACATTAAGCCCACTAAGAGCTCCGGCTTGGTTTCAGCAGACTGAGCAGGGGGCAGATTTCCTTGCCTGCCCATCACCTGAGGGCCTTCAAGGAAGCCCCAGGGCTCTTTGGAGCGTTCTGAAGACCACACAGTGCTAGCTCACAGTAACTACAGTGACTGAATATCGCTCTGAGCTTCTGCAAATTAAGATTAAAAGGTAAACACTGTGGATTAAGTATCTTTAAATAAAAAAGGTTTTATCAGTATGTGACATTTTAATCTCATGAAGCCGGGCGTGATGGCGCACGCCTGTAATCCCAGCATTCGGGAGGCTGAGGCAAGAGGATCGGATTGTTGCAAGTTCGAGACCAGCCTGGGCTACAAAGTGAGCTCAAGGCCAGTCTGAACTCCATAGCAAGACCCTGTCTCAAAGAAGACCAATAAATAAATAAAGTAATCTCATGAATATAGTGATTACGTTTTCAGACAACATGCCTTAAAGCAATGGGTCCAACTGTTAATCTTTTTTTTTTTTTCTTAAGACAAGGTCTCACGGTGTAGTTCAGGCTGGCCTCACACTCATGGCAATCATCCTGCCTCAGCCTCTTGAGAGCTAGGATTACAGGCTTGTGCCACCATGCCCAGCTGTCAATCTGAATGCACAATTTACTTACTATACATCATTTCCTTTATAGACCCCCTGTAGTTGTACTGTCTAATACAGTGGTCACTGGCTACATATGAGTACAGAAAATACTGACAGCAAAGAAAACTCTACCATTTGTGTGTGTGCAGACGTTGTGGTCATTAAATTAAAAAGTACTTTACCTGAGAAGTCTGAAATTGAACCACAACATCACGTGAAATCTGCAAATCCGCTGTTTAAAAATGAGTTCACCCCAATTGCTAAGACAATAATTTTGTTCCCACCACAAATGAGTATGAAGTTAAACATGTTCAAGGAGCTGGCTGTGTGGCTCAGGGATATAATGCTTGCCCTGACATGCTCGAGGCTCTGGGTTAGATCTTTGACACCTCAAAAACAATTAAATAAATTTATATATGTGAATATATAATCACTCAGGAGGCTGAGGCAGGATTGTTGCAAGTTCAAGACCAGCCCCAACTGCATATTGAAACCTTGTCTCAAAAAGACCAAAAAAAAAAAAAAAAAAAACCAAATATGTATTTAAAATATATATATGGATTTGAAATAAAAAGTCCATCCAACATTTCCCAACTTTTAGAACACCTTCCAAATACACAATTTTTTTTCCTTTTGGGGGCTGAAGCTATGTGCTCTACCACTGAGCTATACACCCCAGCCCTGCTCATTTTTTTTTTTTCTTTTTTCAGATGGGATCTCGCTATGTTGTTCAGATTGGTCTTGAACTTCCGGCTCAAGTGTACCCCACCTCAATCTTTCAAGTGCTGGAACTGTAGCATGTACCTCTGTACCTGAACTCTGCTCATGTTTTATACAATTTTTGTCATTTTACCATTTTGATAGGTTTTTTTTTCTCTGAACAGAGTCATTTCAAAATTCTGTATATACTAATCCCTATCTGCAATCTGACTTTTGCTGTAGTGTTTCTTTTGGTTAAGGTATATTTGTTTCCCAGGTCTATCTCTGAAGGTGAGACTGATTCTCCATATCTATTTTCCAAATATGAGAGGAACCAGAAAAGGAGAGCAGTTTTTCCAGGAAAACAAAACTGTTCTAAAAGGAACCCTAAGGAAACTTGGGCTTACATCTCCCTTTCAGAAGTGTGTTCTGTAATCACTACAAGCTGCTAAGTCTTCTTATTGGAGATGAGCGTATTCTAGAGATGAGAACTGGGTGCACAGAGACAGACAAATGAATTCCATGTTCCTGCATGTGGAGCTAACCGCATAAGTCACGAAGGTCACAGCACTGTGTCTTGGAGCGGGAATTGTACAAGGGAGCCACACCGACTCATGCTCCTCTGGCTCCTTTAACTCCAAAGCATAATGCAAACTCTCATTCTCAGAAAGTAGGCTTTGAAGACCCCTGGTGTCCAGTGAATGTTCTCCAAATAAACCTCAGTCACTGCTACAGGCATAAAAAATTGCAGGAAATCAAGGCCCTTGACTATAGAACCACTGCTTGCTAGGTTCTCTACAGCTGCCACCTTTTCCTAGCTATTCAGGACCTGTCAGACATCTTGAGGTAAAAATCAGCCAACAAATTACAAGTTTAAGAAGACAAAAGATTCAAGCTTACACAAGCAGAGAAAAAAATTACTTAGTTAAGATTTATTTCAAGGCCTGAAAACATTCAGACAAATCACAATGGAACTACTATATCCTCTTACAATTCAGAAACACTTAACATGAAACTATTAAGTGCAAACACAGCCCCTTGACAACATACTGTATGATTTTTCAAAAGCAATGGCTATTTAATGAAATGCAAAGTAACAATACATACCAAAGAACTCCTACACAATGAGAACGTAATTAGCAGCTGGCTATTCAGACTAAATACAAATCTGCCTTAACAATGTCCATGTTTGTTTTCAACTGTGTTTCATAAAGCCACTGATAATTGGATAATTAAGGCTTCTTTCAAGTATAGGGATTTCTAACATCAAAAATTGTATTTTCAGCGCAGGGGGCTGGGAGAAAAGGGTAACTCAGGGGCAGAGAATCTGCCTAGCATGCACAAGCCCCTGGGTTGAATTCTCAGGATCACTAAAAAACAAATTCAAAATATTTTTATAAATAAATGGAAAATCTACAGACTGCACTGTCTGCCACAAATTCATACAGCACAAAGTAAAAGGCAGCCAGGTGTGGTGGCTCATGCCTGTAATCCCAGCACTCAGGAGGCTGAGGCAGTAGGATCGCCATGAGGTCCCCATGAGGCTAGCCTGGGCTACACAGTGAGACCCTGTCTCAAAAACCAAACAAAATTTATATGTGCATTCCTTTGCTCCAACAACTTTACATGTTTTTGAACATGCTTTACAAATGTCTATTAAATATCAGTAATTAGGGAAAATGAATTATCTTTAAAACTACCTACTTTATACTTCAACTCTTTCCCTCCCAAACTGCTCCCCCAGATCTGTTACCAAAGTGAACAATGACTCACTGTTACCAAAGTGAACAATGACAACTTTTTACCTTTATAAACAAAAGAACTCACGTGGCCAAAAGTTAGGAAAAGGAAAAATGCAAAGTGTGAAATTTACTAAATTTTTATCTATACCCTTCCTTCAAGTTACAAGTATTCTCCACATTAGCATTAAAGTTATATTGAGCATACACAAGTACAACAGTTTAAATTTACTCTGGAACATATAAGTACATGAAAAATAAATAAACTGCTATTTCATAGTTTAACTGGCTCTCAAACAGTTTCCCAAGGAGGAAAAATAAGCACTTCGTGTTATGAAACTAGCCCATATAAAGAAGGGGCATGTGTTAAATCCTGAGGAAGCTTCTTAAAACTGCAATACAGGGGCTGGGGGCGTAGGTCAGTGGTAGAGCAGTGGCCTTGTGCAGTGGTGGTGAACCTACAACATGTGTGCCATAGGGGGCTTCCTTCATCACTGAAAGTTCTCAAAGGTTCGCCAGCACTGGCCATGTGTGTGAGGCCCTGGGTTTAATCCCCAGCACTGGAAAAAAAAAAAAAGCAATACAGATATACACGTAATCACTGTTCGCATAGTGATGGAATGCAATGATGGGGACAGGGGCAATCTCTTAAGTGTACAGACGTAGGTTATTTCAAATGGAAAAACTGTTACAATTGTTGAAAGGAAAAAAGAATGAATGTCAGGAAAAATGTTGAAGAACAAGAACACCTACTATTAAATAAGAAAAAATTATCCAACACAAAAGTAAGAACTTCGGAATTAAAAAACTGCATAGGGGGTGTGGTTTTTTTGGTTTGGTTTTTTTACTATCTTGAAAAAAACAAACTGATAGGCAAAGGATATCTAGGCCACTTAGAATTGAGGAAATTACATAAAAAATGGCGACGCAAAATGAATTGACTTCATAAGGGAAATGAGTTAAACCAAATTTTATAAAATTCTTCATGCCTATTGATATATTAATGTAGAAAATATCAAAAATTCAGTATGGACTTTCTTACTCAGGTTTATAATAAATTATCAAACTTCTGCTTATTTTACAAGTCTTCCCTGTCCAGCAGCATATGCTACACAAATACATACACGCTGGTACCCTACCATGAGAATTATAGTTTTCATCTCCAACTACTGACATGCCTTTTTACCCATCCTTACAGTATACTTTATTTCCATTAGAAGACAACACCTTTTAGTGGTTCATTTTTATCTGCATATTACATAAAGAAGATTCTTGATTTTGAAAAGAAGATTTCTAGTACTACTACAGCATGATGGATTTAACAGCTGAAGCATAGTTGGGTTAACTCTGTACTACTGTATACTTTAAGCTAGTTCACAGCTATGGGAAAATGTTTGATTTTTAAAATATAACCAAGACGAGACTGCATAATTATGAACAGTGAAATACCAGAAAACAAAGCAAATGAATAAATATGGTAATTTTTCATCAGTGGCCATTAATAATTTTGCCTTTTGAAAGCTGGAAGAAATTGTCATCTTTGAGTTTCAAATGTTCTGGCAAATCCAGTCGTTTCTTAGCTTCTTCAATGTCTCCGTGAATGGCTGAAATAAGTGACTCTGCAGAGAGAACATACCACGTAAAAGTAGTGAGAAACTGCCAAGGTACTGTTTCCTCTTGCTCAGCCTCCCCAGTAAATGCTGCTCTGTCCCTTTTCTCGGGCATAAGGAAAAGGAGTGGCTGTGTGTGAGCTCACCTCAGCGCTTCTCTCTGGCGCCTTCTCTCTGGCGCCCTGTCCACCCATGTGACGCTTTCCCTACACAGCAGCAAGGGCCTTGCCAGACACTGCAGGCTGGCTCTCAGATGGTGAAGCCAACACAACTACACAGGACACGAGCCACAGAAACACCTCCTCTTCACAAACACTCGTCTCGCATTCAGTCACAGCAACAAAGACAGATTAGGACAGCGATTTGGGGCAAATTACTTAACCGCTGTGTCAATTTTCTCATCTGTGAAATGGGTTAAATAATCCTTCACATGGTTCTTGTGGGGATAAATGAATTTACTCACCTGAGACCCAACAGTGCCTGGCACACATTAAATGCTCAAATAATATATGTCCTACTATCATTATTACTAGCTGTAGAGAATAGTTGTGGCAGTAGAAATATTAAAGATCAACGTAGGAGCTTACCTAAAGAATCGAAGTTCTTCTCCGGTCTGAGGTAGCCAACAATGGCCACATTGAGGATTTCGCCATAGAAGTCCTCTTTGAAGGTATGCATGATGTGAGTTTCCTATGACCAAAATGATGAAAAGATTACCGGGGATGTGAAATCTGAAATCCACCTTCATGTTTAAGGTAGGCTAATTTAAATGAAACAATAAATTCTTGTCAGAGTTTTGAAAGTGGCGCACCCACTATCTCAGCACATGGGAGGCGGAGGCAGGAGGATGCCTGCAAGTTCTAGGCCAACCTGGGCTACAAAGTGAGTTCAAGGCCAGCCTACACTGCATTGTGAAACCCTGTCTCAAAAAAAAAAAAAGAGTTTTAAAGACTTTCATCACTCCTGTTTCTGTCCCAACCTTACCCATAAAACTGATATGTTATACCACAAAGCTGGTATGATCTGCTGTTTAAAATGGGTAATCTCTCCAATTCAGATAAACCATCTAAGTTTTAGTAGATTCCCTTAAACAACAAATCAGAGACAAAAAGGCAGAAAGACCAATAGAAATAAGACAGCTGAGGCTTAACAGGATAGTAGCATTGGAAATTGGACAGCTTAAGTGTAAACTACTTAGATATATCTACTTTGAAGAGATATTTTGAAGCATGTCATGAAAAAATCCTATCTATGAAGTGATCCTTAAATTGTATTTATCTATCACCCCTCTGCTAAGAATATACCTAAATTATTCAGAATAAAGGAACAGATACTAAGAAAAATTACAAGTAGTCTATTTAAAACACACAAGATGTGTTTACTCTTTCTGAACCAACTTGGTAAGTTAACCTTGTGCACCTAAATATGATTCACCCCCAAATGAAGGAAGGGATATATTACATGAGATTTTAGACTAAAGTAAGTTTTATTTCCTTTCTTACAAAAATAACATAGTGTTAATTTTTCATAACCTTTTAGTTTTCTTGGTTGAGGAGGGTCATGATCTTTTGGGGTCATTAATGGAATGCTGGCTGCAGTGTTCTTGCCCGTTTTATCTATCTAGAAGGAAATCACTTTGTACATATTCTTTATGTGCATATTTTTAAAAAATACCCTAAAGATAAGGGCAACAGAAATAAATTTATTTTATGATTCTTCTCCTGTTCCCTATCTTTTATACATGAAAGAGAAGGAAGTGTCAGCTTAAAGATTTGTGGCACTTGCAGGGCAGGATGGATCAGAACGTTAGTCCTCCCTGTACTGGTTTACTATTCTCCCCATAATGATACACAGATTCAGAAACTGACAACTATTCTAAAACTTATATAGAAAGGACAAAATTATCCAAGGAAATCTGGAAAACAAAACTTTCCAAATCACACAGGATAGCAAGACCTGTTATACCGCTATACAAATTAAGACCCCTACAGTAATGGGTCAAGAAAAGACAAGCAAATCAAACATGCATAGATGTATTTTTGGACTCTTACACATATAAAGTCACTTAATTTACAAAGAATATGACAATGCAGTAGTATCAGAAAAGGGGACATTTTTAATAAATGAGCTGAACCAACTCCATATCTCTTTGGGGAACAAAAACTATCAATTTTGACCTTTATTGTATACATATCCAAAACTAATTTAATAGGTCAACATAGCTTTTAAATTTCTTCCTTCCTTCCTTCCTTCCTTCTTCTCTTCCCTCTCTTTCTTCCTTCCTTTTCTTTCTGTCTGTCTATATTTCTTTCTTTTTCTGTCTCTCTCTTTTTGAGATAGGGTCTTGCTCTGAATTCAGGCTGGCCTTAAACTCCCTATGTAGCTCAGGCTAGTCTCAAACTTGTGGCAATCCTGCCTCAGGTCCCCAAGTGCTGGGATTCAGAGGCGTGTGCCACCATGCCCAACTTTAATTTCTTAAAGAAATTATTAAAACACTAACCAACCATAAAAGAAAAATGATGAACTGGATTATATTAAAATTAAGAACTTTTGCATTGGGGATGGAGTTCAATGGTAGAGTGCTTGCCTAGCATGCACACAGCCCTGGATTCAATTCCCAGCACTACCAAACAAGAAAAAGAACAACAAAAAGAACATGAAATAGAAGAAATTCCTGATTTCATAATACATAGTTCACAGTTCCAACAACGAAATTGGACCTAGACGACACTAAGAACTTCCTTAAGACAATAAGATAATACAATTTCTAAAATAAGAGCCTAAGACTTGAACAGGAATCTCACAATGTCTGTTACTAGCAAAGAAAAAAAAGATGCAAAAAGAAAAGCCCTGAAATGTATCAACAACTTATCAGTGAAAAACTGACTTTCTCTTATCAACAGACTTGCAAGACATTCCTTTACTGGCTCAATGGCATTATTTCTGTTATCTCTCAGCTCTTAAGAAAAATTAGTCATGGGATAAACTCCCCTCCCTTTTTTTCCTCCCTCATTCTATAGAGAAGTACTCAGTATGCTTTTTATCAATTTTTTTCTTTACCTCCTCCAATAATTTCCATCACCTTAATATCCAGAAGCTAACTGAAATACTGAGCAAAATACTACGGTGTTATGGTTTCTCAACTGTGACAAACTTCTCTTACTAACTTTACAAGGAAGTTAAAATTTAAATCATTGTGAACCTGTTTCTGACACACACTTGAAGCTCACAAAGGATTCAGTCAAATCTAACAAAACATTTAAACTGTAGGAATCTTGTGAAAAAAGCTGAAAGTAAGGAAGAAAAGGAGTATACCCTCCAAGTGAATTTAAAAACAAGAGCCAGAAGTATAGCACTAAAGACTGTAGAGGTGATATGGGAAATCGAACTCAGGACCTTGTGCTTGTCAGGCAGGCACCATGCTGCTGAGCTACATCCCCAGCCTCACATTTTATTTTCTACATATGACTTGAAAAAAATGCATAAAAACAATCTATGTTATTGGGTATACAATATAAAAACATGTAATTTGTAACTTCTGTATGCCATTGAAGCTAAATTGGTATAAATTCAAATTAGACTTTTATAATTTAAGCATTTTAAGTATAATCTCCCTGATAACTACAAAAAAATTATCTACAGAAAATACATAAATAGAGGCGGGTGTGGTGGCTCACGCCTGTAATCCCAGAACTTGGGAGGCTGAGGCAGGAGGATCATTGCGAGTTCAAGACCAGCCTGGGCTACAAAGTGAGCTCAAGGCCAGCCTGAACTGTATAGCAAGACCCTGTCTCAAAAAGACAAAAAAATAAATAAATAAATCAGAAAATATATAAACAGAAATGAGAAAATAATCAAAATGTGTCACTATTAAAAAAATGCAAAGGCAACTAAAAGTCAGTGTGAGGGTACATGCTGGTAATCCCAGCACTGGGAGGCTGAGGAGGGAGCATGAAACGAAAGGATGGCAGTTCAAGCTCTTTTTTGTAAAAAGAGCTGGGGGAGCTGGGGAGGTAGCTCAGAGTAAGGGCCCTGTGTTCACTCTTGCGTACCATCAACAAAAAAAAGGGCAGCTGGGTGTGGTGGCATGTGCCTATAATCCCAGCATTTGGGAGGCTGAGGCAGGAGGATGGCTGTGAATTTGAGGCCACCCTGGGCTACATAAGGAGTCCAGAACCTGTCCAAACTATACAGCTAGACTCTGTCTCCAAAAAAAATAAAGAAGGCAATAAGAAGAAATGGACAAATGTTACAGAGAACAAAAAAACAAAATTGTGGAAACCATCAGCATTACTGTAAATGCAAATGGATTAAACTCTCCAAAAAAAAGTAGAAAATGGAAGAATAAAGAGTGATCTAGCCAGGGAGGAATCTCATGCCCCATTATAAGTCCCAGGCCAGCCTGAGCAACTCAGTGAGACCTTATCTCAAAAGAAAAACAATAAAAAATTTAAAAAGGGCTAGGGATATAGCTCAGGAGTGCCCCATGTACATACTTGAGGCCCTGGGTTCAATCTTCAACACAGGAAAAAAAAAATACCAACTATGATCCAACTCTACGGTCTAAAAGAAATTCACTTTGGATCAAAACAGGCTGAAAGTAGTGTAAAAAGAAAAAGATACTCCATTCAAATACAGTAGTAACTAAATACTTCATTTTTAAGTCCTTTAAGTGTGCCGCCAAATATTCTACCCTTTGAATTATGTTGTGATCATCACTGATGAATTCTATGTGCCTCTAATACCACAAATGACTCTAGCCTCATCCCTTTTTCGGTTACAGAGCAAAGTATGAGTCTTACCATGGACTTTTTCAAATTCTTGTAGTATGGGTTCCACCCAATGCTCGCCACCATCTTATGAACATCTCCACTTCCAACACTGGCCCAACCATAATAAATGCCAGTGGATATGTCCGCTGGAAGGTTATCTACCACATGTTCAGGAAAGTTAGCTAAACAACAGAAGGAAATACTCCAAATGTTAAGTTTCATATTAAATAAGTGTAAAAAAAAAAAATCACACGAAGGACTAATCTACATTATTACGCTCACAACTATGACCTTGACTATGGTTACCAAGCCATCCTTCTATATAACTGTTTGGCTTCCTTTCTCCTCTTCACGTGAATAGCTTTTAAGATACAAGGCACGTATATACTTCTCTCAAACCACCCCTCAGAAAAGAACAAAACTATCTGAACAGAAAAAAAAAAATGGGTACAAAAAACAGATGAAATGAGGCATGTGCACCTATAGTCCCAGCTACACAGGAAGCTGAGGCAAGAGGTCATAGTGAAATCAGGCCAACGTGGGCAGCATAAGGAGACTGCCTCCTAAAATTTGAAAACAAACAAAAACGATGTGCTGAGGCATTTTAAGAGTCTCACTTTCAAAACATACACACTTAAACGCCAAACTCAAAAGAGTGATTTAAAAGGTCAAGAACAGCCCTGGTAGGTATCTGTAATGATGAATTAAGCAGTCAGGTCTTAATTACTAAAACCAATGCAGGTAGCCGGGCGTGGTGGCGCACGCCTGTAATCCCAGCACTCGAAAGGCTGAGGCAGGGGGATTGTTGCGAGTTCGAGACCAGCCTGGGCTACAAAGTGAGTTCGAGACCAGCCTGGGCTACAAAGTGAGCTCAAGGCCAGC